GCAATATCTCCCAAGAAGAAAAATATTTGGCAGAAATTATGCATTTAAAATGAAGATGGGGTATTCTAGCATAGATTTCTAAGATAAAATTGCATTAGTAGACTTGTCTTAAGGAATAGAAAGAAGACCTTGCATGTAAGATCCCCGCCGCTTATCCCAGTCAGTACATAACCTGGCATCGTTAGTGTGTTAGCGCATGCGCAATATCTCACCAGATGCGTTATATTTTGTGATGAATATACATTTAATATGGTTAGGGGGTACCTCAGCATAGATTTCTGTAATAAATTGTTATCAGTAGACCTGTGTTTATAATTAGGAGAGCGCCCTAGCCTGTGGGGTGCAACACTCCTGTTTCATCCACTCCCGTCCTTTCTCTTGCCTCCCTTGTCCCTCGCTCATCCTTCTTCTTCTTATACCGCCCCCAGCTATCTTGCCTGCCGCCTTTCCTCAGTCTTTTAGCAAGCTATATTATGCAGTTTTGTTCAGTTCGTACTGCACCCCTAAAACGGTGCTCGCGCATGGGTAATATCTTCCGAGAAGAAGAATATTTTGCAAACATTATGTATTTAGAATGAACAGAAGGTATTCTAGCATAGATTTATAAGATAAAATTGCATCAGTAGACTTGTCTTAAGGAATAGAAAGAAGACCTTGCATGTAAGGTCCCCGCCGAATATACCAGCCAGTACACAATCTGGCTACGTTAGTGTGTTAGCACATGCGCAATATATCACCAGAAGCGTTATATTTTGTGATGAATATACATTTAATATGGTTAGGTGGTATCTCAGCATAGATTTCTGTAATAAATTCTTATCAGTAGACCTGTGTTTATAATTAGGCGAACGCCCTAGCCTGTGGGGTGCAAAACGTCTATTTCATCACCTTTCGTCCTGTCTCTTGCCTCCCTTGTCCCTCGCCCAGCTTCCTTCTTCTTCTACCCCCCCCAGATATCTTTACTGCTGCCTTTCCTCAGTCTCACACCCCTCTCGCTCTCTCAGCAAGCAATATTATGAATATTTATCAGTCCGTACTGCACGCCTAAAACGGTGCTCGCGCATGCGCAATATCTCCCGAGAAGAAGAATATTTTGCAGAAATTATGCATTTAAAATGAAGAGGGGGTATTCTAGCATAGATTTCTAAGATAAAATTGCATCAGTAGACTTCTCTTAAGAAATAGAAAAAATATCTTGCATGTAATGTTCCCTCTGCT